AGCAGCTAAGTGGTTGCCTACATCCATCAGTCTCTCATATATTCCACCTGTATGTATACATCCAAACTCATATTGAAGCAATTCTACAATTCTAAAACCAGCATTATTATAGGGAAATAATTTGTAGCCACATGTACCGGAGTAGTGATAACCAGGAGTAACTTAGGCATTCAGAGCAACATTATTAGGCTTGTGTCTATGTAAGGCGATATAGAGAATTCTAGGGATGATTGTTCCAAAGAAAAAGAGCAAGAGAAAGATATGTCTTGCTGACTTTTGCTGCTGGTTCAGTTATTGACTTTCCTGGACTATTGGATTCACTAAGCCTTCTCAACACACCCACAGGGGCATGGCCCTGCTTATGTGGATTTGACTACCTAGAAACCAGAAATCCTGTTATTCACCCACATTACTGGTCCTTGTGGCATTCACCCCTACCCCATACCACTTGCTTCTAACTGCTGTGCTGACTCATTTGAGGATGGAAGATTCACCTAGGGACTGAGAAACTGCAAACTGAACCCACATGAGCAACACAGAAAATAAGTAATTTCTCCTTCTCTGAGAATACAATGGTAGCACCTTTAGGTTCTTCTGCTATTGGAGTAGTATGATGGGGCATGAGAATTATTGACTAGTTTGTGTCTCGGGCCTGTGTATGTTTGGATATCATGCCAGAGGATTCTCAACAAAGCATATTTTCCTTATATCCTGATGCTCAAGACGATGCACCTGTTGACCACCCCCTCCCGCCTACTTCTCTTTGTCTTCAACACATTTTTCTTTGGCCATTCCCATTCATCAGCCCAAAGCTAGAGCAAAGGTTGTGGTAATTTGTCCGTGGACTTTGAAACTGATGCTCAATGATGCTGATGCTATACTCTACCATGGGTGTTCACCCAGTTCATTACGGCCTTTGTCTCTGTGGCAAACCTGAAACCATCTTCCCATTCCTGTGTGAATTTTTTCTCCATTGCAGCCTTTTTGCTCAGATAATTTTGACTAATTTCCACTTTGTGTACCAGCACCATCAAATACTTTGTAGGCCCTGATAATCAAGATTCATAAATTTTCCTGTAGGCTCTTGGACAAATGCAATGAAACCACCATATTTA